GCAAGTCACACGACACCGCGAGAGTGGATGACATATCGCACGGCGAATACCTTGTCCAATATGGTGGACGGTTAAGGTTTGGGTTAGGGTTCCGTTAGGGTTCGGGTTAGGCTACCACCACCAACGGTTTAGAACGTTAATCAGAGCTTCCACGATTAAGTGGAGAGTGCTTACGTTAGGGTTAGGGTCCGGGTTAGGGTAAGGGTTCTAACCATGCGGTCGATGAGCCGCCTGTTCGTGTACAGAACGTAAGACTTACAGGGTTTCCTTGAGTCCATCGATATTTATTATCACCACAGAGTGAGATGACTATACTTCGAGAATGTAGACTGGGTCAATGCCCCATCTGCAAAGACCAGGTCAACAACTGTGCTCAGAGAACCGAGGCCTTACGACCAAACGTAAGCCACCGGATTGCCTTAGGCTGACAGAGCCGGGTTGCTGAGTAGGTCCTGATCTACTTAACCACCTAGTCGCACCGAAGTGGCCAGGGGGTGCTTATATCCTGCGGCTACCTATACGAAAGCCGGCCCGCGGCTCAGCACAGTAAACACACGCGATCACAGGTTTCATACCATTGTTCGAACACGATTCAGGAGCGACAATCGCCATCCTAATCAAAGCGTCCGAGGTAAAGACGATCAGTCTCAGGGTCTCGAGTAGGGCCGCGAAAATTACCTTGCTCAATGCGGTACCGATCAAACGCGTTCATTCCGCGTAATCGTTCATCCTCATCGGCAGGTTGATTTCCTTGAGCTGAGGTACCCTCGCCAGCATCCATACGGATGTCGTCGATTCTTGGTAGTACATTTTGTACTACAGGTACCTCGCGGTCCATCTGCTTCAACACAATCTTTTTCCAAAGAGTTGTTAAGTCAAAGAGGTTCTTCGTCCTCTTACGAGAGACGATGACTCTTCTGTCTAGAAATTGGGGGGCTATCCTCCGCAAATCCACAAACTCGATTGGGACTAAGGCTTCAGAGATCGTACCACCTCCAACCGCAGTCAGAGGCGCACTCTCAATGTCCCCATAGTCTTCGTGCTTGGGCGCGGCAAAGTCGGGATCGAACTGCAAGGAATCGGCACGCCTGTACCATTCCTTGAGATAGCCTAGGATTGTGTCTCCTAGCTCTGTGGCGTTGAAGTAATTCCATGCCGGGTTAAAAACTGACTTAAGTACGAGGACCTCTCCTTCAAGGGCTGTGTCCTCCGGCGTTTTTACACGAAGCCGGTCTTTCCAACGGTCGACGGCATGTTTCTTAAGCCAGTTCATGACCAGGTCCTCAGGATAACCACGCGTTATATACAGGGATACCAAGTCCTGCAACGCTTTCCCATACAGCTCCGGAGAGCTGCTCAAGGTGGCTAAACGAGACATCTCGCCAATGAACGTACCGCGTTTGACGTCCAAAGGATGATTCGAGATCCATGGAACACGTTCAAGGTGGTTCCGCGGCTTGCGATATGGCATATGTTGAAGTCGATTAGACTCGTCCAGGAAAATCAACATGTCCAGAAAGACGCAAGACTGGGATGACGCGGACCACTCAATCCTACAGTTATCAAATTTAACTTTATTTCCATGTGCTATCGCCTCCTGCTCAGAGTTGGCGTAACACAAGTAGAAAATATCATCGATATAACGGCCGTAATAAGGGACATCAGGGTCGTCCAGGATACCACTTTTCCTCTCGTAATTCCATCCGAAGAGGTTCGCCAAGTCTGGCGAGTCGCTGACACCCATTGCGACACCACCAGCTTGACGGTATATTTGATCCTGAAACCGTAGGATAAGATCGCTGTTGCCTAAGTTAAGGCATTCTCGGAAGAACTCAAAATACCGCTTGGTACACTCGGGATGGCCTATAAAATTCCCGTCAGGTCCACGCTTAGGTAAATAATCCGAAGGAGGAATCATACCCCCACAGTAATGCTCTACAAACATCTCGAGAACGATACCGAGACACTTGCCAAGTGGAATGTTGGGGTAGAATGCCACGACGTCCCCTGTTACCAGATAGAGACGTCGTTTCGGGTTGAGTTTGGGAGCGATCTCACTCAATTTTATTGCCAAGTCTTTGGTTCCTCGAATGAGGCATGGCACCGAATCTAATATCGGTTTGAGTTTTTTAGAGACAAATTTGGCAGCCGGATTTTGTATCGCACTATGACAAGGTACAATTGGCCGCATTTTAACCGGCTCCTTATGTATTTTGGGGATACCGTAAAATTCGGGGATAGTGCCCATGAGCGTTTTAAGGCTCGTGGGGACACGCTTCCATTCAGGAATTTCGTGCCGATAGCCAAGAGCATATCCGAAATACTCGGCTAACTGCCTTGCTTCGATTAAGTTGGGAATAGAAAACATTCCGTCACATAATTCGAGCATTTTGTCTCGCTGCTTAAGCAGGATACGCCCAGCGTGGATGTCTGTAATTGGAATGTAATTATTCCGATCCGCTAGGAGGTCCTGTGATTTTTCAATGATCCACTCGCGTTTAGAGACCGCTAAACCGAGGTTCTTGTCAGTCATTGTAACGACATAGTCGTTCTTGACAAGGAACTCATGGAGTTCTTTAGAAGAGGGCCTAAACGCACGACGAAGGTCGTTGGTATCAGCCCACTCCCGCTCTGTCGGGCACTTGGCGATCGATTCGTTTACGAAGCGCCTGCCTCGACTTATGGCTTCTTCCATGAATGACGGTAACTTAGGAGGTTGTTTTTCTTCTTTTTCTTTCGCTACCTCGTAGTCTGGATCATAAAAATCTGGCTTTCCATTCGTCTCACAGAGAAAAAATACTCTCCACCGGAAGCGTCGTTCAAAGTCGTTCCAGGCGGTCGTAAAGAGTGAGCTTCGGAGCGGTTGAAAGAGTAAGTACCGCAAGCCGAGTGAAAGCTGCATAGCTATTTCAGGGGGCACAACTACGCCCGGTGACAGATGTATATGCGCTGCGAATCGGTTTTCACTCAAACGTGCAAGAGGGGTATTCGCAAGTATACATTGTGCTGCCAGCGGAAAGGGGACATCTAATAGTACATCCGGAATAGCACCAGGTCCATTACAAACAAATCGTAACTGTCCGACAAGGTAAACTAATTCTTTTTGCCTTTGCCTTTCCCTTTCCCCTTCGGAGGTCGACCGCCCGTACTCATACGAGCGCTCTTCTTCTGCCTCTTGGCGGCGTTCTTGACGACGTCCACGCGAGCTTGACGGGACGGCAGGGGAACGACTCGCTTCCCGTCTTGGACGGGGAGGCCAGACTTCTTGTTGGGCGCCTTGCCCTTCTTCGAGGAGGATCCGGATCCTAGAAGAAATGAAGTGGTTAGATGATTCTGCAGACGAGCCATCAAACCCTCCACCTTGTGAGTTAGCAAGGCGCTTGTCGATCTTCTTTTGGAGGGCGGAAAACCGAGAGTCGATCATCGACTGTACGGAGGCGGAGGGTGAAATCGACTTGACAGCGTCCTGCACTGCCTTGGTCCCATCGCCGTCGACGTGCATGGCGTCGACCCGCTTGTGTAGCTCCTTTTTCTTCTTTTCCTTCTCTGCCTTGAGAGAGGACCGCGTCTGGACGAGGATGCGGATACGGTGAGCGTACACGGTGAGGTCGTGGAGAACGTCTTCGTAGATCTTCTTCGCGACCGGGTTGAGCGTCCAGGTTTGCACTATCGCCCCCTGTTCATTGGACGTGAAAACAGGGGACTGCGAGGCCTTTTCGATGACCTCGGTCCAGTGCCTCTTGACGAGCGGAGAGAGCTTGTCGAAGAGTCCTTGGGCGCTAAGCGCCTCCGCTTGGAACTTCAGTTCGTCGCCAACGATCCGAAGCTGTGCATCGAACTCCTCCACCTTGAAAGCGTGGTGGCGGCGATCGATGAGTTTGAGGGCGTTGTACCGCTCCTCATCCCCCGCCTTAGGAACATGTCCTTCGGGCGGCACAGGTTGCTGCATGATGGCAGCAGCGAACTCCTTCGAGGCCTGATAGGTTGCCACCTTCAGACCTGCGATGTGCGGAGGGAACTTACCGTCCTTCTTGAGCGTGTCCCAACGCTCACGTTTGGCCAAGTTGGCCTGGTACTTCTCCTCGAGGCTGGCAACCTCAAGGAGAGGTCCACGAAGGACGGAGCGATAGACGCCGGGGATGGCGTTTATCACTTCCTCCACGGTCGTCGCACAGTATAGCACCGCGTGACGAGCCGCCGCCTCTCGTTCTCCGAGAGGCGCTAGGGAGTTTTGGGGGTGGACGTCGTCCACCTCCATCGCACCAGGCCCGGCTGGTTGGCCGAGCGTGGCGGATATGCCCTGCACGTATACGGCAGAGGCGGGGGACACAGCCCGGGAGAAAAGTGTGCTGTTAGCGGACATAGCGGAGGAGGGCTAAATGGACGCAGCGGGGACTTTGGTTGGAGCAGAGTTTCCGACGATAGATTTAGGGTTAGGGAGGCACTCGACGACGAGCGCAGCGAGTCGGAGAGTGACTAGAGTTAGCGAAACTAGCAGACAACGGGCTAGTTCTCTGGGGAACTAAGCCTCTACCCGTTTCGCATTTTATGCTCTTCAGGTCTGCGTAGTATTTTGAAATTTGACGGGCCGCTAAGTCAGTGTGCACGACTAAGCGGAAGTACTTCCCGTAGCTCCGAGCCGATGCCGTCGGCTGCCGAGCAGCCGAGGAACAAAGGCCCTACCTTTCAGGGACATTTCAAATTACGGAGAAACTTTACCTCTGTAATTCTTCGAAAGGGATTGGTTGTTCTAAATAAAACCTTGTACGCGTCAGCGATACTGTACGAACGGCATACCGGCACGGTTAAGTTCCGGGTTCATGTGATATCGGCTTGCCATGCCGACTCCGAGGTTTCCCCTTGCCGGGAACCACATGATGATGCCGCCAAAGTATTCTTTGATTGATGATGTCACCCGCCCCGCGAACCACGGAGTCAGCAATAGCCGATCAGAAAGGTTACCAACCTCCCAATTAAGGAAGGCCACGGCCCGCACACCACGCGAGCTTGTGTTCGGTTTTATCCGACCGGCCACGGCAGTCTCCGCAGCCACGTGGGGTGGACTCCCACGAGTCACGTGACCATTGCAACGAAACCAGGAAGGAGTTGGGTTAGGGTTAGGGTTAGGGTTAGGGTTAGGTTAGGGTTAGGTTAGGGTTAGGGTTAGGGTTAGGGTTAGGGTTAGGGTTAGGGTTAGGGTTAGGGTTAGGGTTAGGGTTAGGGTTAGGGTTAGG